TTTATATGCGAATTCATACTTTTGTAGCATACCTTGGAGCGCGCGAATATATTTTTGGATTTTCTAATAATTATGGTACTCTTTGGAGCTTAACTGAACTACGAATCACGCCATGAACTATTCGAAAAATATTTACGATTAGATTCTAGTAGAATGGGCAAATTTTGATTAAATTTTAGCAAATTATATTTTCGATTAGACTCTAAGGAAATGTGCAAATTTTAATTAGTTTAGCGTATCAATATGAGGTACTTCAAATGAATTTAATGAAAGAATACTTGAATTTAGCAAGTGTTAAACTTTAAGTGAATCATTAAATGAACCAAGATAAGCTACTGTTAAATTGTTAAATTAAGAGCTGCGAAAATCTTCACCTGTTGCCTAAGATCTCGACTTTTGTTACCCATACAGCACACATATAGAGCCCAGATCGGGGGCTATCGCATACTTGGCGCCTGTCTAAAGACGTGTCTCAGCTTTCAACACTGCGGGTTCAACAATAAATGGAAGACGACGCGACAGATAATTGATAATTGATTTGCCAAATTGATTAGGGAGCCAGGTTTCGAGAATCAACTTAGCTCGAACACACACACATACATCGGCATTTTGATTATTGGAAAATTAATTATCAACTTGTGCGCCTCGACCTATTGTGGCTGTGCCAGTGTCAATGTGCACATGTGTGTCCATATATTTTGTTTGTTTGTTTTATTTGATTTATTTATATATTTTGTATTTTTTCGCCCTATGCAAGAAAGAAAGAAAACGATTTTATTGGCCCGTCGCAATATGAATCGTTAGCACAACTATTGCTGTTGTTGCAGCTGTTTTATATGGAATATTTTATTTTGATGGCACATTAATTTCGGTGTGATAAGGACCATACACACACACCCACACACACACACGCACACGCACACGCACACTAACGACGGTCGCTCAACCCACAAATCAAAGTGAAATAAGTACGTGCACAAAAGCGCGCACAAATCGCGCACGCGACTTTAAACGCGCCGAATAGCCGTAGCCCCAGTGCCAATTATAACCCCAAGTGTTGAGACAAACGGCCGCCACTGTCCCCCGTTATTGGTGCTTAGAATGCCAGCTGCTCATAAATTGCAACAATTCAAATTGATAATCATGTACATATACATACATATGTATATATGGCTCAAATGTCACTCTAGTCTCTATGTGTATGTATGTATGTATGTGTGTGTGTAGAAATCGCAAACTGATCGCTGCCAAAGTCGTGTTAAACGCTCTTGCTCATATTTCTGTATTTTTGGCTTGCGGCTTATCAGCAGCGCTGCCGTCAGAGACAACAACAAATCCAGAGCAACAACAACGACAGCAGCAACAAATAATAATATAAGAATAATAAAACATGAGCTAAGAATAATCATAAGTTGGGACTGATCGACTAGAATGGGATTTCCAAAATTATTCGATTTCTTATATATATTTTTTTCTATTGCTAGTTATTATTTAATATTAAATAAAAGAGGCAGCTCAATAATTTTGACAGTTTTCCAAATCATTTTGATTTTTAATTAATTGTATTTTTGTATTTCTGAACTTGTTCTTAATTAATTTCGATTCTCTTGTCTATTCCCCCAACTTATCAGCTGCGGTTGTCGAAATTGGCATACAAAGTATTATAAATATGCTTGTTGGACTTCAACCCAAAGGTAACAGAATTTTGAACTTGTAAAGCCGGCAATTTTTCCACTCCTTGAAGCGTGAGTGCAAAGCCCGTTTAAGGTTCAAAATTGATACAGTTCTATGGGCACTCCGATTAAGATCTATCATTCTGCATTCTTCTTGAACTACGGCGTGATCTGTCACAAACACTGGCATGCAAATGATATACTCCGTCCGTTGGAGCACTTCGAGTGGGTTGAGGGTATGGAAAGGTCCACTGGCGCGATAATAAAACATTTTTGCACCCCAGATGTGCCCAGCTGCTCGAGCCAGACGCCGAAGTTGAAGTCAGGGGGTACACACCAGACTGCAAGGAGGCCGGGCAGGAGGGGGGCTGCGGATTCTTTGATTAGACGTACTTAAGTACAAAGCAACAACAACCATGTCAACTGCTAATAAATATTACTTTCAGTGACTGAGTGAGAGTGTGTGCATGTGTGTGTATGTATGTGTGTGTGTGTGTGTGCGACTCAAGTGGGCTGTTTAGTAAATTCGTCGCGGGCATTAAGAGTGCTCCAAAGTTGGCTTGATAAGTAGCGATCGTAAACGTAGTCGCGTCGAACTGACCTCATACGAATATGCCCTCCATGAGTCAGAGTCCTTAACATCTTCGGCATGATGTCATTTGCTGCAGCACGGCTTTGCACTGCCATTCACGGCGAACTGACCTACGAATATATTTATAAAAATGTATTTTAAACAAGTGTTTTATTAGGGCCATTTAATAGTCTCATATATTTATATTGGGCTAACTCTCGATTGTTGTTCATAAATTTATATTTTGATTTTTTAACAATCTAAATAATAATTGACACTCAAATTAAGTAATAATTAATTTGAATTCCAAAGTTTTTATTATACAATTTTTGTTTATTTTTTTATAGACATTTTTCATGCTTAATAAATCACGATTTATTTTGTATAATAAATATGTAGTTTTTTAATTTTTTTGTTATAGTTAGTTATTTTTTATACTTAATAAATTACAATTTATTTTGTGCAATAAATATGTTTCATTTTATTATTTGGGGATGAATTTGAAAGACTAAGTAAATAAATATTAATATTAGGAACTCTTAAAAATGTTAGCATAGTGAGAAAATACGAAATAATAAATTATTTATAAATATGTAAATATTTTTAAATCATAGAAATCAAACATAAATTTAAAATAGTAATAATATATAAAAATTAACATAAATTTATTGGAAATAGAAACTATTTTTATTTATTATGATTATTATTATTATTATTATTAATGAAAATTTATTTGTAATTATTTGCATTATTTTTCATTAAATATAAAAATATATATTTTTTTATATATATATTTTTTTATTTAAATATAATAATATATATATTTTATGTATATATCATTTATTTCTAATAATAAAACATACAAACTCTCACAATAATAAGTAGAATCAGTTGAAATTAATTTATATTTATTTTAATGAATTTTTATTCATTAGAGATGTATTTCTAGTATATATTACTATTATTTATTCTGTATGTTATGTATATAAATATATATTTATTTGTTTTATAGGGAAATAATTCAGCCTCTGCATCATCCATCGCCATCGCCTTCAAAATAAATAAAACCTAAAACCCGTCGATCTCAGCTGCCGAGCAGCCAGTGTCAAAGTTCGGCTTGGCCCAGTGAAGCGAACAACTGTTCGATTGACCCACGTCAGCCAGCGCTCAGCATTGGCCGCGCGTGTTTATCCCGAAAACAACGAGCACGGCAGAGTCCGTGCTTGGTGGACCTGTATCCGTGTGTGTGTGCGCGTGTGTGTGTGTGTGCGAGCATGCATATATTACGCATACGCCTGCTGTGCCTCGTGCGCAACGAAGACGACTATCGGCATCGGCATCGCCGTCGGCATCGGCATCGACATCGACGCGGCTGGATCAGTCGCGTTATACAGCAGCGGAGGCGCCGAGCCGTTCGGCAGATCGTAGTTCAGTCAATGCTTGGGTCTGGTGCGCGTCGTTCGACTCTGCCCAATTGATATAGTTAGTGAATATACATCAATATACATACATACACACAGTTGTATATATACACATACATACATACATACGAAAACCAATTTTTTTTTTTTTCTGTGCTACGATTACCGTTGTTATTCCGATTTGCGTCGCAGTCCCGGCTGGCCAAACAGAAGAAGCGATGCGATCGCGCGCACACAGAGGAGAAGCAGAGACAGCCATAAAGAGCTTATAGAAAATAAAGAAAAGCAACAACACACTCTTGAATAACAAACAACAAACACACACACAGATACACACACACACACACACATACACACGTACATATAAAGAAATACATATAGAGAGACTCGCATTGGCATTGCATCGATAGAGGCAGCC